TTGCGGTGTTTGAAAATTAGGAAATTTGGGAATTTGCGAATTAGAAAATTTTGCTATTTGAGAATTAGAAAATTTGGAACTTGGCAAATTAGAAATTCGGAAATTTTGTAAATTTCGAAATCTAAGAATTTGGAAAATTTGCAATTTCAAATTCCTAGAATTTTCTCTCGAAGTTAGTCGTACGCACCCTTCTCTCGACTATTCAGCGCAATGGCGACTTCCTGCCTACGACGTCCCCTACTCGAGATTCGATTTCGGCCGCAGGATCACCGGCCGGCGATTTGTTCGAGTAAACGCGCGCCGTTTGCGGGATCGAGTTCCGCGGTTCGCCGGTGAAGCTCCGGTGGTCGGTTGCGGTCGGTGTTTCTTTTGGGCCAATTTGTCTTGTTTCTGGGGAATTCAATTAGGGGGACGTAGTGTGAGATGGATTCTGCGAGATCGCTTTTGATGGGTGATTCGTAACCGTGGTTTTGGCAACTTGATATTTTTGCGGCTCTTCATTTCGTTCAATATTGAAAAAAAATGAAAAAGAAAGAAAGCAACCTAACCTCTCTGAACAGACTGGCATATTACATACTATATTTCTGGAAAATAAAATGGACTCTATCGTTTATTGCAACGCAGAGTCGAATAAAAAAATTGTAGATGAAAAGAAAATTAAATTTCTCATTTTCGAGGAAGTTTTTTTATTTCCTGAAAAATATTCATTTTTGGTTACGCTAAAATCTTCAATTCTCCTCTAACTCACAAATTCCAAAAAAATTCTTAGACCAACGATCTTCTAAAATCTCCAGACTCCTCAATATCCCAGTAAATACATTTTAAACTCTACGTACCGTACATCCTCCTTCCTCCACCTCTCAGTTACCTAACCTTGACCGCGTTTGTCGTCGACCCGTCGATACCTTTTTCCCCATAAGACTCAGCGATCCGAACCGTTTCTCTGGACCGGCTATTCGCAACCGCGTATTGATTGCAATATCGCGCGAGTATATCCACGTGTTTACGAGTATTCAGCCGTCAAAAATCTTCTGTTTAACCGACAGCTCATCCTTTTCATAAACATCGACACTCTCTCTCTATTTCTCACTCACATACACACTGTAGAACGACATCTTGCCCGTAACATAACATTGATATACTCTTTCTCTCTCTCTCTGTCTCACACACGCACTCTGTAGAACGACATCTCTACGGTAGAAGATCGAACTTCGTCAATACTAATCCTCGTGTACCCACGATTTTAGGTGTACACATCTTCTATTCAACTATATCGAAGATAATACCGACGTTGGATGGATAGCGTGATGAAGCAGGATAGAGACTGAAGGGGAAGCGAGAGAAGAGAAAAGAGCGCCGTGGCCAAACAAACCCGAAATAGACTAGGCGAGTCGAAACGTGTTCACGCTGGCCTGCAAACAAATAATAAACGCTCCTACGCCGTTGCCACGGGGTGCCCGTACCTGATATCCAGCCACAGCCTCGTTAGATGACTCATGTGATTTCCTCGCGGGAGATTGAAATTGCCGGCGAAGTGTGTACGGTGGTTATTAGGAGACTCTAATTCTTCTGGGTTGTTACTTTGCTTGGTGCAGCTTTTTCGAACTTTGTGAGAAATTGAAGTTAATGGTGATTGGAGAAAGAGAGAGGAGAGGTTAGGTAGAGATGGTTTGTGTTCGATTTAGTAAGGGTTTCTTGGGGGGCTTTGAGGAAAATTGAAATTAATGATGATTAGAAGGAGGTTAGATTAGATGGTTATTTGATTTGAGAGATATTTGTGGGGCTTCGAGGGACACTGAAATTGGTAATGATTAGGGAATAGGTTAGGTTGGAGGGTTATTTGCTTTGGGATTTGATGAAAAAGTCAGATTTTACCTGGTTAATTATATGAAATGTATTGAAATGTATTGAAATATAGTGTATTAGTATAACAAAGAATTGGGTGGTCCAGAAATTCTATGGAATTTTGCTCTTTTGTGTTGCCTCGTAAACTGAATATAACAAACGTAGTAACCTAATAAATTCCTCCTGAGTTTAATTAACAAGTTCAGCAATCTCGTTCAGAAATCAGGTTTCGTTAAACGGATTTAGGGTTATGGTAAATGTCGAGGAACGATATTACCGTCGTTTCAATAGCCTGGAGCAATGACCATATCTATTACAAATATAAATTGAAGTCTTTATGGAACCAGTGAGAGTATATGACTGAGGACTTCAACAAGTAGATCTATCATATTGATAAATGAGCGTGTCAGGTGGTGGAGCGTTGCTTCAAGCACTGTGTTTTGTGTTGATTATCTTCCTAGGGAAACCTGCTAGCTATTTTACCTCTTACCAATCTTATTCCTCCAAGATGCCATTACCGGTGTCTTTTTGAATTTTAACACTGTTTCTTTGTCGTTCAATAAAAGCATCCAATTTTTCAAATCTCTGTTAACAAATTCTCCTTCCTCTCTAGATCTTGCCTTCTCTAATCACCATGAGTAGGCATATGAGTAATCTCCATCCCGAGAAACCCACAATTATCAATCGTAACCTAAAAAATAAAAAGGAAGAAAGAAAAAGAAGTCTTAACAATGAAAAACAAGATTAAATATCAAGAAATTAAATAACAGTAAAACTATCCTGAAAGATTAATGGCATCGGCAACTTATCTTCCTCCTTCACGTCCGTAATTTCAAATGGCCAGCGCTTTGGAAGTAATCGAGTCGCGGGGAGGAGAGAGGGCAGATTAAAATCTTCTCAAACTCACATTAAGGAAGCTCTGAAGGCGCGTCCGTGGCGAGAATTGGTCACTCCCTCGGCGTGTGTCGTACGTGTAGAAGTTGACGCGACGCCTGATTCTCCTAAACGTTGCCCACGGGGTTGCAATCATCGTTCCCAAGGCCACACCCTCGATTCTCATTAAGATTTACCGCCTAAACGAGCGCGCGCTACCTATATGCCCGGCCACGAAGCCGGTCTCGCTTCGAAAAATAATAGAAAATGACGGGGCCGCTTTTTTTCGTGGCGACGACGCCGATTAGCAAGACCCGGAGGACCCTTCTTCTCTTTTATTTTCTCCTCTTTTTCTTCCATGGCCAACCCTTTCTCTCTTGGCATCTTACACGGACTTTGTGTTGTCTATAATATAAATTTCATTCAGATTTTTAGGTTAGGATTACATTTGCTTATGAATTGCATTAATATTGCTTATGTTAAATTTATATTTCGTGTACTTAATGTTGATGGTCCATTAGTGTTAATATTTTATATTTAGTAATTATAATAAAATTACGATTATGAAAATTCTGAATATGTGTATTATTATTATTGTTGTTGTTGTTGTTGTTGTTACATTAACCTTTTGTCGAACAGGAAGAAATTATTGTTATTTCATGTTTTTCTTTCAGCTTTTCATTGTATCAAACATTGGTTTCCTTCGAATGTAAATATATATTAATTATTAACGTTATATAAATAAACCTTTTATATCTTGGTATACATATACGTACTGTTAACGTAAGCAATCTTTTATACAAATCTTCGCTTTAATCTGCCGAAAGAAATGATTCTCCTACCACAAGATCCGTCTACGTTCTCATCATCCCAGGTCACTGACCCAATCATCCTCTCAAAACCCACCCAAAACCACATACTTCCACTCAAAAAGGAAAAAGAAAATCAATAACCTCAACCAACCATAAAATCCAGCCAATTCACCAACATTCCTCCAGCCGCGTTCCACTTAATCCTTCAAACCCTCCAAAATATTCCTTCAGCACCCTCTACCGTCTTCCCGCGACAACACTTGCACCACGAAATATTAAAAACTATTCCACAAACAAGACCACATCCCCCCCATTCAGGTCAAAGTAATTCTCAAACGAAGAAGAAGCGGTGACGATTAAAATCCCACCGTCTCAGGACGATTTTTACCACGATTATCACGAAAAGTTTGTGGCATCCGAGAGAAAGTGCGCGGTACAACGAAGATCCGAACGAATCGAACGCACTATATACCACAGAGAAAGCGTGTCAAATTTAATTCCTCGTAAAGCTCCATTAATTTACGGGTGGTCGTGGCCGCTAGGAAATCCGACGTGTTCCACGTCGACCGTGTGTTCAATTATCGAATTTATTTAATGCCAGTCGCTCGATAATAAGTACCTTCTTGGACGCGCGAAAATATCGTCCCCCCTCTCTCCTCCCTTCTCTCAGCAGCACCCTCTGCATGCAAGAAGCTCAATTCGCTGACTTTTCACCTGTCGTTAAGTCTACGGGGACGAGTTTGGCGGTATTAAGTTAAATCTCTCTCTCTCTCTCTCTCTCTTATTTTATCGCATCGATGTGCTCTTGTGGATTCTTTCGGTCCTTTTTTTATACTCTACCAGAGGCATCGCTTAACCTAGCCTGCCCTTCGTCCTTTTCCCCTCTATAATTTTCACTCGAATACCTGCTCTAATTATAGGTGGTTCGTCACGCCGGCATTCTTTTTGCCTACTCTAGGTTGTAGTTCGTGAAAATGTTTCAAGTAGAGTGTAATTTCAGTGGCGAATGGTTAAATGTCTACTTGTTGCTTTACGGAGGAAATGTAGGGTTAGAAGGAGCGGGAAATGTTGATTGTCTGTTTGACGTTGTTCCACTGATTCTGCGTCGTTTATAAAATTTGCTTTATTAAAAATCTGGTCTCTCACTTTCTTACTCTTTTAACAGCGATTATATTACACTCGTTTCTTAAAAAATTTCGAGAACGTAATATCTTACTTTTCACACGAACACCATACATATATAAAATTCTTCTAAACACTATCCATAAGAATAACGAGAATCTGAAGAAATAGCCTACGACGCAAAAGCGTTGATTAGTTGCGTAGTTGCGATCTGCGCAGAAGCATGCGCAGTAGTACCTTACTTCTCGAATAACTCCCCGTATGTGCATAAAATTGTCCAAAACATAGCCTCATAAAGATAACGACGATAAAGGATAATGACGGTGGATGCTTCCGGGATTGTTTCAGGTACCTGGGAGTGGAGCCACGGTTGAATAGCGGCTCTGGTCTGGGGAACGGTGGCGAGGGCCAGGCACAGATCGTCGGCGCGGGTGTGATCGGTCCAGCGAGCGCCGAAAAGAACTGCAAGAGCGTGCACCTGACCGCGAAGCAGCAGGCGATATGCTCCCGCTCGCCGCCCGTCCTGCAGGTATTTACCTCGCGGCAGGGCCAACCTCTGTCTGTCTCTGTCCCTTTCTCTCTCTCTCTCGTTCGGATTAATGGCCGGGGAAGCACGCGGCTAATTCGATTCACCGGCCCTCCGCTAAGGCCGCGTGTACGCGCCTATGCCACATTGTGCGAACCATCTTTCCACCATAATGTTTTTCAGACGTCGAACGAATAGAGAATGTTTCGTTATTTTTTCTTTTTTCTTTTCGAGATGACGGTTTTGTGTTCTGAATTTTAAAGAATCGAAAAAAGAGGTTAGGTGAGTGTTTTTGAGGATTCTGGTTACGTTTAATATTGGGTGAACAGTGAAGTGATTGGTTAGGAAGTGAAATGACGTGTGAAATAGAGGTTAACTATATAATTGTGAATTGTTATCTGTTTTCTCTTTTTTTTAATTTGACATTTGTGCTGTGTGAGAGAGATCTTGAAACGGGAATGGAAAAATTGAGGAGTAGTAAATTTTTTTACTGCTCGAAAGTAATAAATACAATTGCTGACGATAAAGGTGGTATACTTCTTTATACTGACGTCAACGAATTCCAGCAAAATTGTGAACAGACGTGTTTTACGAGTGTTCGACGTGTTTTATGAAAGTCAGAATGGCATCTGAAGTATTTAGCTCTTGGATAATCAAGGATCGATTTATTTTCGAAAAAATATACAGCGTCGTTAAAGAAGAAATAGCGCAATTACACGGTTCTGGTGCATCGTTAAACGTTCGAAAAGAAGCGGGGTCATTGGCAATTAAACCTCGCAGTCAGGTTCAGCTTTTGCCCCGCTTTCTTTTCAGTTTCGATCGTGAAATTCAGCGTTACTTAGTTTCTTATTATGTAACTGTTAACACAATTTTCTTTAATTCATCCAACAATTATTATTATTCCATCTTCGAGTACAATCGAACCAAAATTACATAACCTCAGTTTTTTAAGAATTTTCTATCTTGTTTCAATTTTGAAATAGAAACAAATCCTCGATAATCGGAATATTTCAATTTTTCAAAAATTTCAGTTTATTCCTGTTTTCACCTCTTAATTTACACGTTCAAAGTCTCGATGTTATATATTTACCAAGAATTGCAATTCCTAACCTAACTTTCAGTTGAAAAAATAAATCGATTTCCATCTCCGTCGTTTAATTTACATTTTCGGAAGACTGAATGTTACATTTACCAAGAATTTCATTTCTTTTTTTAGCGTATTCTCGTTTTATCCAAAGATTGTTAAAAGCGATCCGGGATCGCGTAGGGGAAATTGAACGTCCGTCCGGTGGAAGATGGCGCGAGGGCAGAACCGGTGAATTCGCGCGATTCTAAAGAACTCCCGGAATGCAGTGCTCGAGTTGTAGCTTTCGTTTGCCGCGCCTGCAATATTTAATACTCGAGCT